TTTTTTTTTTTTTTTTTTTTTTTTTTTTTTTTTTTTTTTTTTTTTTTTTTTTTAAGTCTTGAACGACTGATCCAATAGAACAACGCAACCGCAATTTTGGAAAAAAAAAAAAAAAAAATCTAAAATCTATGAATTTTCGGGTCATTGTTTCGATTTTCAAGTTGAGAACCTTAAGTTGAACAAACTAACTCATTCTTATTCATCAAAGCTAACCATCTAACCCATCTTTTAAGGCTCGCAGTGTAGCCTATCTTCAATTGGATTTCGGCATTTATCAGCTCATCGCCTTCTTTGCCGTCCAATATCACATTCACGCTTAGTAGCGTCACACTCACTGTCGCGTCGCCTTATGCCATCATATTAACGTTCCGTCGCTTTATGCCATCATATTAACGTTCCCTATTGTCTTTCACTCAACAACTGCTCCGACAGTAACCAGTAACCAATCTCGACTTCTCTCTCACCCGACATTCATGATTCCTTGATATTTTTAAAAATATATATTTTTCTCATCTCATGACAAATAAGAAAATCGATCAACTGGATTAACCCAACCCAAAGTTTTCCACGTCAAGTCGCAACATATCATTAACATCAGTTATAAATATTAAAATATTTTAAATATTTTTAAAGGTAGAATTGAGCAAATATTTTTAAAGGTAGAATTGAGCGGTAAATACATTCATAAAATTATGAAAAAAATGAAAATCTATAATAAATAAAACTATGAACGTAAAAAGTTGGAATCTTGCCTCAAACATAGCTTTTTTTTTTTTTTTTTTTAATTATTTTCGTCTTGAACCATAAAATTATGTTCGAGTCAATTATTAATACGATACAAATAGGACCATCGGTAAAGTCTCATTTACGATTTGCATTCAATGCTAAGTCAAGCTAGACCCCATAATAGAGAAATTCATTAACTAATTAGGCATAAATATACAAGTCTATTTTATCACATGAACAACGAATCCTAGTCCTGTAATTTCACGTTTAATCAATAAATTTTTTTTTTTTGCATAATTTGCGAGAGAATCGTCTTTCAGCACTCGGGACAAGATTGGTAAGCACACACACCCAACTCAACCATTAAAATTATAGAGCTTGTCGTTTGTTTCTATTACTATCCCGATAGTCAAATAAACTAATACAAATATTTTATTTTTTAAGAAAATAATTAATAGTGAAATATTTAGGAAATTAAATAAACAAATAATTTTATAAAATGAAAAAAAAAAAAAACTAAATAAAAGAATAATTTAAAAAAATGATAAAATATTAAGAAGTTTTATATACACGTGCTTATGGGTTAGGGTGGATCGAGCTGAAATATTAATCCAAACTAGTCCAACCATAAAGTCCAAAAACATATATTTATTTATTTTCAAACATTTAATTGAGATTTTTATTATATTGTCTATTTTAGCCGTTACATATTGTCAACATCACCTTTTAAAACACATTTGTTAAAATGTCGTTATACGGAATAAATAAAACATAATTATATATATATATATATATACACACACACGTGGAACTCAAGCTATAACATTTTAATTTAAATATTTATTTAAACTAAACTCAATCCGGTACAAATAATAAATTAATTTAAATAGTATATGTCGGATTGGATTGATCGAATTTTTTGAACACTCGTAATTTTATTATGAATAAGATCTGGTTGAGATTTTAGAATTACACGGGAGTCCGGCGATTAATATTATTATTGCATTTTAATAAATATTATAATAAATGAAAATAAAAATAAAAATAAAAATATTATAGGGAAATTGAAAATTAGCATCCCGTAGATGATGGACCTTTGAGTAAAGTGAGCTCCATTACAGTGTACGAGATTTACGAAATAATTCCTATGGTCCAATGTTATTATTGTCTCCAAATATTTATTTTTAAATTACAATTATTCTTTTTGCAGATTAATCCCCAAATATTTATTTTTTTAGTTTTGAAGCCCAAACAGGTGGCCCCTGAAAATCCCAAAATTACAAAACAAGAGGGCCAAGAGGGCCACAGTAGCAAGCCCAAAAATATAAGAAACCGACAGCTCACTGTGCCCGTAGCCATGAAAATCGCGTCAGACCAACCGGCATTTCCCTGTACCCGGTCATTGCTTCTCCCTCCCTCCCGTGATCGCAGTAATAAGGCACCAGGAGAATAAGAACCAACGATTTACTTTTAGTTAATGCTTCTCTGCAATTTCATGTCCGCTGCGTAAACGGCGGCCGTTTTTTCTTCTGCTGCTGCGGAGTACGGTGTTCCGGTTAGGAAAAAGTGAGCGCGGTCGGCTGTCAGTGGCCGGCGATGACGGAGGTTGTTGAGAGGGAGGTGACTCTCAAGGAGTTGAAGACTATGATGGCGGAGTTTGCTAGAGAGAGGGACTGGGATCAGTTTCATAGCCCTAGAAATCTCCTTCTCGCTATGGTATTGTATTAATGTTCTTTCGAAAACTGTACTTTCTTACTGCAATGCGGAGTGGAAAACGAATATCACCTTCTTCTTCCGCCTGTGTAACCTACTCGGAAACGATTTGATGAAAACTTTGCGGTTCGTTTTCCCGATGTGAAATGGGAGGATTGAACAGTCTTCCGACGATTGATGTTCTTTTCTTACTCTTTTTTGTATTGTTTTTGTGCTAATAATGTTTATTAGGGATTTTTCGATCGTCGATGAATGCTTCAATACTTCCTCGTTCCTTTAGGGTTTCACTGAAGTTTTAATGGTGGAAGACTACTTCAACCGAAGTTATGTTGCGATTTGGAAAAACTTCAGGACAATAATTTCTGTTAGGCTTGAAATTTTATGCGGAGTAGGACTGTTCTGAGTAGATTATTCACTTGACTGGCCAGATTTTATCTCATTTTTACTTGGCAATCATTCTGTCATTCATGAAGTACAAATTTTAGGAACAGTGAAAGCTGTTTTGTTTGCTGTTTGGAACTGTGTGAACTGTTCCAAGTGAATTAGGACGTAGGCGGAGAATGATGAGATACCCATTCTATTTAGTGGATTTTTTTTTTTTTTTTTTTTTTTTTTTTTTTTTTTTTTTTTTTTTTTTTTTTTT